TTTCGGCCTTTGTCATTTTCAGCGCCTGGCAACCATCACGGTGAAAATGCCCGGATGTTCGCCCCAAAGAATAGTAAATTTTGAACGAAATTTCTAATTTACTACTTTTATTACGATACTGACATAGAGAACATAGGACTAGGGGTCAAAAAAAAAAAAATACACAATTGACCAGTGGAACAACCACTCTGACAAAATGGTATTGTAGGCAAGCAGCAAACTTAAAAACTTAAAAACAATTTCCAACATTGGACTTACCTCACATCTTTGATTGTAAATTCTTTCACACCAAATACCTTTCCCAAAGGATCATCCGAACAATAAACTCTTCTGGGATCTAATTCATCGTATAAATATCTACTACTGATATATTTTATCAGATACGAGAGTAACTATAAAAAAAAGAGAGAGAGAGAGAGAGAAAAAAAGATACAAATTAATTATATATTTACAATTTTTTTTTAATTTGAAATTTAAATTTGTAAAGACATTTTTAATGAAATCCAAAAACACAAGAAAACTGACCTGTCTTGGTGTGAAAACTTGCCCATTAGCTCCCACGGTTGCCAGTAAGTTGAGGAATTCTTCCCTTGGGCGAACCTAAAATTAATAAAATGAAATATTTAGATACATAATGAAATTAATATTAATAACATCCACCATTGAATCACCCTAGCCTGGTAACTGGACTAATTTTGCGGTTCAACCCACTCAAGAATCTAGAAATGCTTAGATTTCGCTCTTCTGGTCAGTAAGTAATTGTGTTGTTGATAAAAATAACACGCCATTGATAGGTATCGGTAACAGTTGTACACAACGCCCTCTATATTCACTTTCAACAGATCTTGGTACTGTAAAATCTGTATCAGAAGCCATGGTTTCTATTAAAATATTACAATGGTACAACAGATGGAATATGGTTTCCATAAGAACATCTACACATATGAGAACTGACAAATTTTTGGTTGGTTTATTAAAACTGAGTATGTCTACTATTAGAGATGCGACTTCTCTAAATGTTGTGGCTTCTAATAAAGATTTTACATAACTATTTTTTTTTACACAAAAGCATGTAAACTCAAATAAACCATATATATACATGTAATATAATTTTTATAGGAATCACACGTTCATAGTCCTACCTGTTCGCAAACATCAAAACAATAAACTTTGTATTCAAATGCGAGCTATTGTAATTTGAGCAACCGTAGTAAATGTGTTTTATTGCTACAGTAACAATAAGAGACTTCGGACAATCAGATATGCAAATGATAATCATGAAACAGACATGAAAAGACATGACGAAACATGCTGTATTCAATTTAAGATATCTAAATAAACACTACTGGGTATAATGAGTAAACTAAACAACTTATCAGGGAATTTGAATGATGATATCGCTATCTTGGGAATTTGAACAAATAATATCTCGTATGTTGACTTCTATAATTTTTTCTCTGCAGTGTTTAGAGATGTTGGCATCTGGCCAAACTTCAATTGTTAACATAAAAAAATATAAATATGGATTTTTAAAGATAACAGTTTTCATAATGTTAGGTGACTTTGCATGATTGTTGTGTAAAGTGACTCTTTTTGTTTAAACACCACCTTAGGTAGATAATAAATTTTAGGTAAGGTCCGGTTATCGGATTTTGTTATTTGCCCTAATGAAGACAAACAATGCCTGAATTAAATACACAGCTATAATTTAACATTATCTGCAATTTAGAAAATTTAACAGACAACTTTATTAATTTAAGATTTTTAGCCATTAATTTTTCTTAAAGTTATAAATAATATTATTAATTCTATAGAGAAAAAAAAAGTAAAATCTTCATAAATATACATGTGTGTGGATGAACAAAAACTTTCAACACTTTGCTTCAAGTTTTATCGCCATGCCAACTACTATTGCAACATTCGTATAATGAGGAGGGGTCAAGAGTTCGTGTGAAGAACGGTGAGAATACATGACTAGTTCTTCCAGTTGATTCAACAAAGTCGGCAGTCTGGCTACCACGCAATGCAAAACATTAGTTGCTACCAAGAAATCATCCTATTAGCATTGCAGTTAAAAAAAAAAAACGACAAAATTGGCTTTCTGTAAATCACCTCCACAATTCTCTCAGCACGATTTCATGGCCCATTTATCACAAATATTATACAATTTGTTTCAGATAAAATTAAGATGTTTAGTTGATTAAAAAGAATCATGGTATGTTTGGTCGATCCCTTATATCAACGACAGACGAATGTTCACATCAAAAATCACACATATAAATCATTAATGCGACAGTGTAAAATGACATTTCACTTTTTTGATTTTTTGAGCATTTTCACTACGTTTTAATTTCACAAGTTTGTCAAAAAAACAATGAGTTTTATTGTAATTTTACATGTTCACATAGATTTAATTAATTTAGCGAATTTTACTTATCAGCGAAAATAGCAAAATTAAAACAAAGTGAACAATTGCATGTAATGTACTTACAGTATTTAGTTTACTGGTATATGTACCGGTACTTCTAATATAGCAAATATACTACATACTGTAAAACACTTTGTTTTAGCTGGAATTAATTTTCACTGAAAAGACTTTTTTTGGGTGTTTTGTATAGAATTTATTTTCCCTGATTTTTAACAAGTTGAATGTAAAATATAGGAAAAAAGGTATATTCGCTGAATCATCCCTTCAGCGAAAATTAATTCCAAGAGAAAATAAAGTATTCTACAGTAGATTTCTGTTAGTCTAAATGTTGGATGAGCCTATGTCTATATCCTAGCTGTTGTCATGACAACACAGCTTCGTCTGTCAGAAAGAATGCCATTTACAATGTTATGTCATCCGATTACAAAACGTTAATAGCTTAATTTTGTATTGGTAGGAGTTTCCATGGTTACACCAAAAGTAATTGTTGACTTGCATCATTTAGTCAATGTAGCAGTAATCAAAACGCACCTATCAACTTTACATTGCCATGGCAACTACAGTTCTATGTGAGCTGAGAAACTTTTAAATGTTGTTAAAAAAATGTAATCTCTAAAGTGCTTGATGTCTAATTAAGCGACTATAAAACCTTTTTTTCTTACTAGCATCTAATTTCACTTTTTTGATGTTTTGAACAATTTCAAAGGAAAATGGTTGGTATCGGTAATTTGTAATGTGATCTAGCTGATTATATTTCTATTTTTGTTTTACTACATAATCAGGAATTTTTTTAAACAAGGGAACAGGGGCGCAGTGCCCTCATGGCATGGCCAAATGCCCCATTCCCCTGGGGAACAGATCCTCTGGCAACTGTGACCTGTCTGATAGTAATTTTAGCCCCAAGGAAGCCATAGAATGCTCCATTTTAACTTAATTATCTAAAACTCCTAACCCTGGTAGGGAGAACCCTATCTCCCCCCACTTGGTGGCACCGCTGAATTGCAGTGCTCCCTCTAGCATTTTTTTTATAGAAAACCCCCTGATAATTATAATTACAGTAACAACAAAGATATTACAAGATAAGTTGTCAGAGAGGTAGTCCCCTCTCCTCTGACATCAACACCTCTATGTTGTCATACATGTAGTGGGTAGTAACAGGTGGTTGTTGAAACCCACTCAATAACAACAACATTATCCACACTGGCTTAGACACAATAGACATTACTGACGTGTGACTGGACACATAGTGACTTGTTAATACATGACCACACACCACTTTATACTGAGCTACATTCCAATACACACATTCCAAGCAAAGTACTTGTATCCTGCCGATTGGATTAAGAACATTCCACATACTGGTACGAATTTACCAAGTTTATGAAAATCTAAATAACATTCTTGCATTTTGAGCATCCACAACGAGTTGGGCTCTTTCTCACGGCTCATTTAACTGTTGCAGGTCAAAGGTAGGGTAGAAATGGCTTTCATAGGGGGCAAAAGGTTGTGACCTCGCTTGTAATATTGTGAAAGTGTTGGACAATATAGTGGTAATAAAAGCCATACACATCTATAGCCAATCAATAAACAGCTGGTAATGGCATGCTCTGAGCTGTTACCATCAGTTTAGTACTTTAATAAAGGCTTCAAAAAAGACTATTGTTCTCGGGCAATTCATGCTATTGAATAAGAAAGATAAAAACTATCACGTTCTTATTTTATTTTTTGGCTTTAAAAATGATACATAATTGTTGATTTACAGTTGTCAACTTTTGAAGAAAAACTTTCCGAATAAACACAAATATGCCCTTTTTGAAACTACTACCATAAAAATTCAGGATAAAGCATTATTTTATGAAAATTAAAAAGTATAAGTATTTGCCAGAATTTTCTAATAATTCAGGACAACCATCTTATAAATAAAAATTATTTTTTCATCATATGTTACAAACAAAATTTTGAGTTATGACAAACATTTTTTACAATAGAACCCAGTGTTTTCAACAAGACAAGAGACATGTAACATTTAGGACATGGTTTAATTTTTCATCCCAGGTTCTTAACTCTCATTAAACAAATTGTCTCACAAAAATATTAGAAAATATAAGTGACGCTGGCAATTCATAAGTGTAGAATAAAATTAAGACATAATAAACATTTGACTACACTGTCTCCACTATAAAGGGAACAAAATCTGTTTCTAGATTCACATGTATGGGGAAATTGACACATATTTTCTAAACTGACGGCACAATTCAACCCTACTACGTATTCCTGGTGAGAACTCTGACGACTCGGTAATAAATGGCATTTTTGTAGGTATTTGACACATTTTTGGGGCTAAAAGAATCTGGATTTTCACAGCATAGAATAAAATAAAGCTGCATAGTTAATCTTGCAAATAGTTTTGACAAGCAGCCTCTCAGCTGAGATAGCTCCACTGTTAGCAATGCACATTTCAATTAAAGAATTGAAGATATAGTCAAAGAATGAATAAATCTGAGAGAGATCCACCTGTAGTACTTTTATGTATTGCAGTTTTTAACAAAAAGTCAAAAATATTAATTTTTACCAAGAATGAAAAAAATATTCATCAAAATTAGAGAATTGAATATATCATCACACAATGAACAAATCTGAGAGATGTCCACCTAAGCAATTGGATCAAAAAGTCAAAAATATCACTTAAGATTTTTTACAAAAAATTACAAAAATATTTACCAAAATTAGAGAATTAAAGATATCATCATGAAATGAACCAATTTAAGTGAGATCTACCCAAGGTACATATATATCAAGTAACAAAGCAATCAGGTTTGTAGTTTTCAAGAAGGAGTAAAAAGTTGATGCGGGCGACAGACAATCACTGATATGATAAGCTCCGCTTGACAAAGTCGACAGCGGAGCTAAAAATTATTAAATGCACGTTTAGTAAATAAAATTTAAAGAAATTCCAACCAAAGTAGTCCTGCTTGAACATCAGTGGAGAAAAAAAAATGTGCACTATTTGTCAACATCTACCTGCCGAGGTTTAAATATTATTTTATTTCCACAAAATTTTTAAAAACATAAAAATACCTTTGTTTATAATTATATGTAATGTAAATCTTGCAACAGTTAACAATTTGAAATGGAGGGAGTCTGGAGATATTTAATAGCAATAAAATTCATTTATATTATATGGCCACGTGAAAAAGAAATGTGGGAGAAGAATCATATAGAATAATAAAACAAAAACCATTTAATTAAGTTATAGGAAACATAAAACTTGTTTTTTATTTGCCTATAAAGAAAATTTTTATTTATTTTTGTTCTCCCCCATAACAATTTTGTTTTAAATATCCACTAGTATTCAAATCTGGAATGTCTAATCTTGGTATGCAGTTCTTGGTAAGCTGAAGAAGGTATCAAATGAGGTGTAAAAAATCACAAGACCATAGCTCAATGCATGTTGCATGATACCCAAAAATAGGAAATGAGTTGAGACTGGAAAAACTTGCCAAATGTGGATATAAAAGCACCTGGAGTTTAATTGCTGACACACCTGATACCGACAAAGACAAATCTGAGTGTATTAATAGCAATGATGAAACCAGAGAAAACTTGTTGAGACTTGTCTCACAATGTTTACAATCTTGATTCAATAGCGCCCTCAGCAGGCAGAAAATGGTTGAACTTCCCTCTTTTAAGATTTCTGATTTAAAAGTAGATTCTTATTAATATATAAAGTATTGAATATTATAGAAATTTATAGAAAATCATTACTGAGATTTGACACCTAGTCAGTCGGATTGGCATACTGAATTTGAATAGGGAGAAGAAGGACACCCCCCCTCCCCATAAAAATATTAAAGTGAAATAACATTTAATATTATCAACATGGTACACTCACCGCAATGTCCTTACTAGGCAACTTGTGTTCGGGTTTCAGTTCTTTGGCAAGAATTGCTGCCATTGCAAATGCGGCACTCTCTCTTTCAGATCTCGTGTTGACCGGTGCGGTTGCCGTAGCGATAATAGTTGGCCCTCCATGTGATGATGTTGCCGTGGCTGTTATTTCAACTGAGCTCTGGGAACTGGAGGAAAGACGAAGGGTGGCGTCATCCTTACATCGACGCTGTCTTCTTCTCCTCTGCCCTTTCGGCATGCTGTAAAAAATAATGTGATAATTTATGGTTTAATAAAATACTTTTTCAATAGAAATGCTCAGATTTTAAGCTCCTTCATTTGATTGGAATTAAGCACATGGATCTTCGAAGATAAATGTTTTATAAATATTTCATAAATTTCTACAAAAGTGCTTGGTTTTTCATAAAATAAAAATGATGTTTCGGTATTCTTCATTGAAAATAATGAATAATATCTTAAGCTTTGTTTTCATTTTTGCCATCCAGCATGCCTGCTGTTAACAAATGCCTCAAAGATTGAAACAAACTCACGATCTCCTGTAACAACATATCCTGTACGTTGTCATATTACATACATGTATACTGTAAAATACTTTATTTTTGCTTGGAATTAATTTTCGCTATTTTCGCTGAAGAAATGATTCAGTAAAAATAAAATATACAGCAAATATACCTTTTTTTCTATATTTTACATTCAACATGTTAAAAATCAGTGAAAATAAATTCCAGTTAAATAAAGTATTTTACAGTATTTAATAACCATATAGCAGCAAATAACGGCATTATTTTATCTTTAGGTACGAATGACCGTCAGTTACTGTGCACACACAGACGTGCAAAATGTAAATAAGTGCGATGGTTTAAATCAGGAAAAACGTATTACTATACTAAGACATGCTGATGATGAAAACACACATACCCAAGTTTGTGAAAAGTCAACTACGTGATTTCAAAACTAGTGAAACTCCTAAGAATCCTTAAAATTGTTAAATACAGTTTTAAAAAAGTATTTGGAATTTGTTTTATATTAGGCGTATAGATTTCTTATTGGTTTACATGTGAAAAAAATGTACAAAAAGGGAAAATTAATTGTATTCATCAACCTTAAATAAAAAGTAATATAATATCTACAAGTATTTTCAGCGCAAACCTTCTTACAACCTCCTTATTTTTCACTGGAAATTTAACCCTAAAGTTCTGTATTTAAATATTTCATTAATATTGCAGAAAGTTATGCATTCTTGGTCATATATTATACAGTAAATTATTATTATTATTATCAAATTTAAAGCATTTCAAAATTTAAAAAGCTTTTATATAAAACTATTTCTCAATATCAATATTTGCAGTTCTCACAAGTTTTCAAGGAGAAACAAATACTACAAACCGTCTGAAACTAAATGAATTTGTAATGGTGATGTATATCTCTGAACTGTCATGTCGCGGGTCTGTATGTATTTAGACAGTGAGTTGTTTTGCAGTACATTGCAAATACAAATACCACCATACAAAATCTTTGTGAAATACACAATAATTGGATAAATATGCCAACAATTCCACGATTTGACATTTTCTTCAAGGAGTAGCAAGCGGACTACTTTCGAAATACCAATCATATAATAGTCCCATTATTGGTCTAACTGTACCTGGATTGAATAAAGGCCGGGCATGCTGATGGACATACGTTGGTGTGAAACGGAAAAACTGGCCTGGATTTATCACCGCTGATTAAACGCATTTTGGTGTCCGTATAACGACGTAGAGACTGTACACCTCCGACTCTGGGAAAATCTGATTGTCATATGGGCATTTAAATAGGTTGAGTCTGTGCCAAGTTATGCGAATTGGGCGATCCCCGACAAGTCCAAACATGTCCGCCATTGTTGCGTTGGACAGCTCATATTGATATGGGGGTTCCCTGTCATTTAAAGATACCTAGATACGACCTGGCATTTAAACACATCAACATCTGAGTTACTTAAACGGACAGCATAGATACAAATTAAACTGAAGCAAGAAATTAGATAATTTAACACAAATTAATTTCATATATAAGTTCAAAGTTCACGCAAGTAAATGGTACAGTGACCTTTATTCGGTGTCACGCCAAACGAAAACAACATGAAAACGTGCACGGATAAGTCACATACTATACGTCAAATTTGCACCAAACCTGAGCAATATGGGATGACACTGCGGTCTTCTATCACGCCATAGACTGTGCCATACAACAGACACACTCAATAAATTCGTCTGTAACGTGCGACGGGCGGATTCAGAAGCATCGCGGAGAGCACGCCGCTTCGGATCGTCAAATTTACATACAGCTGAGATTACGTCAAAAAGGCGGGAAATTCGCACGCTTTCGCGTTTGTTTTAAACAAATTTGCCGAAAAGTATAGTTACAATTCCTTCAACAATAAAAGTAACGATGAAATTATAAACACTCACCGCATGTTGTTAGTGAACGGTACTCTGAATATTTGCTCCATGTTTTCGGTTGCGAGTGACGGCGAACAGTTTTTGGTTCCCAAGATATGGCTATCAACATAGACATGTCTAGACACGAATTGGATTGTTACAGCACTTAGGACAATGCACACAACACTCGCCAAGACATTTAAACATTTGGACCAGGTCCAATGGACAGAGTAATATCTAAAATTGGAAATCTAGTCGGAGCTTGTGTGGGACTTTTTTTTAAAATATAAAAAAAAGGAAAATTTAAAAATTGTATTCAAATTTGTCAAATTTCAGTACTAGGGTATAAAAGCTTTTGTATGGATTCGTTTACAAGAATTTTACAGTGAAGAATATCGTTTTGCTTGTCATTAAATGTTAATCGTTTAATTTGTTACTGTTTCAGAAAAAGTTGTTTTATATCTGACGGAAAAAATGCAACAGCCTGCTAAGTGCACTGGCAACTGTTTTTGGACCCCGCCCTGGGCCCCACCCCATCCACTAAACAAATTAAGATACCAATGTTATAACTTCCCCCGCTCCCGTTTCCTGTCTCGGAAACTTAAGGTTTTCACTATACTAGTACTGCGTTGACATTACCTGAAGTGTGTCAATGAGAAAGGATGTGCACCATAAACGAAAGAGTTTACATGAACTTTGACCTCAAACTTCAAGCAGGATTCAGTTCGGTTATTTCATCTTTTCTAGAGGGGCGCCCAGGTTCTTTCAACTAGAAAGAATATTGGTTCTTACACGACTATAGAGCAACTATAATATAATACCCCACCCACCCCCAAGAACTGCAACATAACACTCCCATCATGAACTAAATTTCTACCAGTGTCAAAGTTGCTAACCAATCGTAACGTGAATCGAAGTAGTATTTATTTATTTATTTATTTATTTATTTATTTATTTATTTATTTATTTATTTATTTATTTATTTATTTATTTATTTATTTATTTATTTATTCGTATGATATTTATTTGCTTTATTTACAAAATGTAAGTGTAAACTTTGTAAAATTTGTGTTTAACCATGTAACTCTATTTGAGTTGTATTTTTTTGCATCTTCCACTGATTATTGTGATCACCATGATAAAATCAGTTGCTATGGCAACAATTAAATCATGAAATATTGCAATGATTTATTAACTGTTTTTCATAGAAAAGACGATCGATACACGATAAAAAAAAACAATCCGCCCGACTGCCGCCAGTCACCGTGACAAGTGGAGCAGCACGTGACTCTCTCTGGAAACTTCTTCCCAGTACGGTGACGCTGTGTTGGGTTTGGAGCACCGCGGAGGGCGCAACGCACGCGACCTCGTCAGGCTAGGTGACGCCTTGAGGTTCAAATAAGTTAATCTCCGTTTGTTGGTTTTGGTTTGTTTGTTTGTTTGTTTGTTTGTTTGTTACGGTGCTCTCGGACCCTTGAATATTGATATCTCTAGTTCGTTGGATGTGCGGACGCATTTCATACTGTTTTGGTCGTCCAGCCGTTTCAACAATAGATACATTTTAACCGCGGGTACTCACTTTCTCCTCCGGGGGTGTACTTCCACTTTAAGTGGGTAGGGGTGTGCAGCCATAGACCCTCCAGTAGAGGGTCTATGGTGCAGCCCACCTCTCGTAAACCTTACTCCTTTCTAAACCATTTGTTTTCAGCGACCACATGTATAGTGTAGCGGGGGGTGTCACTGACGTGAAATACATGTAAAACAAATGTCTGTCAAATGTATCTTTATTGCCAAAATGACAGTGGATTTAAGTTACATGTGTATGTTTTACCATGGTGCTGTGTCAACAATAGATACATTTTAACCGCGGGTACTCACTTTCTCCCCCGGGGGTGTACTTCCACTTTAAGTGGGTGTGCAGCCCACCTCTCGTAAACCATGTGCCATGTGCACTATGATACGAGACATCGGACGCGAAAAACAAAACAAAAAACACACACACACCCAGCTCACAACTTTCGCAACCAGTGAGCGTATTTTATTCAGCCGTTTCCGGTATCTGGCTTTGAATATAAGAAGAACTTGTGAAAAAGTAAACAAATGTCACACACTTCTAAATCACTACCCACTTCTAAACAAAAAACGTGAAATGACCCAAGTATTGCACTTGCTCCGTCTGGGGACGGGATGGGGTACACTCCCTGCAAATTAAGTTATGTAATTGTGCGGGAATCCGACCTGATTAAAATGATCCGATGTGGGTGTATGCTCTATTTTTTAAAATAATTTTTATATTTTTTATTGTTCTTTTCTTGCATTTCACTTGTTTTGATAAGGTTTTTACGAAGATACCTCAAAGTATGCACGAAGACAGTACAGCGGAAGTATCGACCGACGCGCAGCGTAAATGGAACTTTCATTGTATTTCCCGTAAAAACGAAAAATGCCTTTTTTATTTCCTGTATCCTGTACCAGCTACCCCCTTGCCCTCTTCTTCCAAGGGACGGGGGTTGTAGTAGGACGCCAAGAATGAGGAGGTAGACATTATCACACTCATTTTTTTTTTTGCCCGGGGTAGGGTATACAATTGGAGTCCGGGTATCTTTAACAAAAAGTATACCCATTTTTTTTCCGTCAGTCATTTCCCTTACCAAAAAATGCTTTCCGTGGAATTTTCCCACCGGAAATAGCAATTTTTTATACATGACTATTGCAGAAATGTTTATGTTGATTTCCAATGTTATTTTTCAGATACACGTACTGTATTTAGACCTCTTCCCAGACTGGAGCAAACAAACACCCCCTCCACGAGACACGGTACCGCTATTTTCAAGATCGTCTCCTCTCACGGCCACTAGGGGCGCTATGAATGACAGAGCCACTAAAACGAGCAGGCCAACCAAGTATGTACAGGTATCAACATTGATCGTTTGTACAAACACATTAAGTACACGTAACGTGTCAATGTTTTTATAATGGATCTAGCGACTGAACTCGTAGTGTAGGTCATGGTGCAAGGACCACTACTGGAGTGGTATGGGAGAACTTCGGTTTACTTAAGTACGCCGGTAACTCGGCATGTAGTAATTCTGATGGTGTTCAACGGCGACGTTGAAGGCCAGCTCAGTCCGCCAAAAATATGGTTACTATGAGAAGTATTAATTCCGTTCGCCGGTGCACGTCGTTAGAAACGAACTGAAATAAAACGAAGAGACTGGAGTCTCGCCCCATTCGTCAGTGTACGTCGTTAGCGGCGAACGGGGGAAAACGACTCGAGACTGGGGTCTCTAACTACACTGAATTGAAACTGATTGCCCCTCCCCCACCTATTCCATCGAGGCCCTTTGCCCGTCATATGGCAAACTATATAATATGTTATGCAGTCTATGACAATACACACAAAATCAATTTAAACAATCTTTTTCTAATTTTGAAACCCTGCACGTACTTACGACACCTTGTAAATAAATATTACCACCAATAAAACAATAATCCACTCATAAGAAACAAGTTTCAAGGCCGGCCTCTCATACAATTTATATCATGGACAGTGCTTGGACTGTGATCAAACTCACGAGTCGCCGGTACCTCCATTATTCGTCGTTGCATGTTTAAAAAAATGATGTGTTCGTATTTGTTAATCACCTAGCACAAAAATCGACCGAAACAGAAGTGAACAAGTGAAGAAGAAGTGAATTCTTTAAATCCGCCTGTCTGGCAATATTTTAGAAAAGTCATATTTTTCAGAAATATTCATATAACATGTCAATATGTATGGCGGGAAACTTATTAACCGATTATATATTTAATAATTTCATCGGCTGACTGGAAAAGTTCCCGTGATGTCATCGGTACCTGTAGTCCCATCTCCGATATTGTCAAAATCAGTATCGATTCGAGTATTCCAGAGCATTTACGAACACACGTCAAAATGATTATAAATACAATTGATATTGCACATAGCAATGAATTTATATAAAAAAAAGTCATGAAAAATCTTGTTCGGGATAGTCAAATAAATACAAACTGTTCTAACACGTTAGGTCGCCGGTTGGCATCTGGCCAAATCGGGCGGTTGCAACATCATAATCTGCAACGAAATCAACAACGAGTGATATCAGACCATACAATGACGCAGTTGAAATTATTTTCCTATTTTGAGAGTAATAACATTATTTCACTTAAATTAAATAATCCATATCTCCGTATAAATTATGTTATTATTTCACTATGATATCAACACATATTAACTCAAACACCGGCCCATTCCTGGGGTGTGTGCCCCCGAACGTGTTAGCATACCATATGTATGACTCACGATAAATATGGGTTTTATTACAGTTATCCGACGCTTTCAGTTTTAAGGATTTGGAGCGCGTTTATGTTGTTGTCATATTTATACTAAATACACACACATACTCAGAAACGAAACACACCAATCAATCAGTACGTCCTAGCTTACCGTCGTCCTGTCCTGTGGCGGCGCCGTGACGACATCACACGGCTCGGTAAAGTTCGATGCTGAAAAATCATATCTATAATCGTCATGTTGTTGATTTCCAGAAACTTTGATAGTTTGGATAAATTACCGGCGTGAGCGATCACAGCAGCCATGTCGATGGAGGCGTCGATACTGGGAATGTGACGCACAACGGTTGCTACTACTCGCCAACTGTGTGTTGAAGGGACATGTCTGTGGTTTCGACCGCATGCCGAAACATGACCTCATTTTAGTAAAGCGTACTAAAGCTGCTAATCAACGCCTTATAACTAGTGCCGATGGAAGTCACAATTTATCTACAATTAGAAACTAACGAGTAAACAGTCTTTATCATATTTTGGGCCAGAATCGAAATTATTATATTCGTACTTCGGGAATATACTGGATATTGAATAGTGACACTTTCGCCGATAGAGGGCGCTTGTTTCGCCAACACGCTGATTCACGTATCAATAGTCAAAGAAAAGTACATGACAAAAGACAGTCTGTTACGGCCGTTGTCTAAGTTGTTCTAAATTGTCGCTCGGCAATAAGCCTCTAAATTAACCAACAATGTATTGCAAATTAAGAATTAGTATGGTGCGTGCTTCGCAGCGGGAATAAATGTGTCGGTTACTTTAAGAAAAAACCCTTCACCCCGATACCCCTAGGGCTATGACTGTCTCATTAAGCGCTAACAGGTGTAGTCACCTTTGACCCGACTATTTGCGTTTGCGATTACGATCCTTTCTGTCCCTGTTTCTGCCTGTCAGCGAGAGACGTGATCACGATCGCCTGAACATTATCCAGCTGAATACACGTTATGTTGTTAAAACATGTACCTTGGTGTCAACGACATGTTGCTCACTGAGCCACCGGGACTGACCGCAGATTATGTTCGACGGCATGTTCGGAAATTTGTCAAATTTTGATACTATAAACAGCATACGAACACTTTGGTCAAAACATGGATTTTTCGATTCCCTGGCGCCCTGGTTAATTCAGTAGTAGTTTTTCGCGTACATGTACATGTTTTTTTTCATAACCCGTCACCGAAGCGTGCGGTTTCCTCGACAACGTCGGTGCACTGTTACTAATAAAGAACCGGGGTCGGTGGCTGACTCGCTCTCACCTGGCCACATTCAACACACCTACTCAGACCACGGATCAGTTTATTGTATACTGGATATAGACTCACAAATACACTGGTAAATCTGATAATGTGAAATTAAGTAGTCATATGCAAACACATCATTGGGCTTGGACCTTTGTCGTAACTTGTATTAGGACATTAAAACGAAAATGAGTTCCTTCATCACTTGGGTCGATGTATGGAAGTTTAGTGTTCTACTAAAAGGGAACTAATGTTTTGGCGCAAAAAAACATGTAAATGCCTGCCTCGGGGTACGAGTAAATCACGGGCGCTAGTCAAGGAGGCCACTATTATATATATTTGTGTGTGACCACTACCATGCAGACACGGTTATTTCAGTCTGTGCTCGCCGAGAAGGGATGGATTCAGGCACGCATATGGTCTCAATAAACAAAATCTGAAATAGAAAATAAATCAAAAAAAAAAAAAAAAAAAAAATTGACTCTGCTCTTTGAACTGCATTTATTTTGCACGAATTAAGCGACTAGAATCTTTAAACACTCATAAGTACTTTTTCTGGCAGGTTTACAAATTTAATAATATATCCTCAAACTGAGGCATCTTTGTCGATTGTTGGCAGTGCATGATGTAATGAGTTCTTCCTTTGTTTTGCACAGATTGCAAACATGTACGTTACTTGTGCGCATATGAAAAGGTGTCCTCCTGAACCAGGAAATCCCCACCCCCCCAATCTGGAATCACATTTGACTTTTCTTGTTTATTTTTCTCATTTTAAATATAAAATATATGCGATTTGGGGATATACGCTTGTGCTTGTTTTCGACTTTGCGTGTTCATTTATGTAGATAATCATCAATGTCGCTTTCGTCATTCTCAGATTTTTTTAAATCGAAGTTTGAGGGGCAAAGAGGGGACAAGACACACATTCAGAACCGTTTTTAGATTTTTACAAGAACAGATATTCTGAAAAACTTGTGCGTCGATGCCACTCCTAAAAATCAAGAGACCCGCCCACTGATGAAGGCTAAGGCAATATGCATTCACTAACGGGTGCAGGGGAGCCTTGATTACCCCGATGACAAGTACTTATGTTTGGGATGGCGTGGTTGACACTGGTATACTCAATGATATTGTCACTGTGATGATGGAATATATTTTTGTTTTTGGGGATAGAGTGACGATTGGAAAAAACAAATATTGTCACCGTCCAGTTGCGGTCGTATATTCGGCACTGGTCGGCATTGGCACGTACTATCATCATTAACAACCGACTAGACTGGTACAGACGGGATTTTTTTTTTTGTGAGAAAAAATGGCAAATTTTCAATGCTTTTAGCGTGATTTCGGGAACCGACAACAATCCCAGTCGACTGCATGGGAGATAAGCTCGCGAGATCAGAGACTATGTATCTCGGACACCGTTCATATTCTTCTTGAAGAACGAAGTTGAGGGTCTCGCCTGGGCATGAATGAGCGTCTGAGGGGACAGTATGTTAGTATATGTGTGTGTGTGTGTGTGTGTGGGGGGGGGGTGAGACCTTTGCAGAAAGGCAAGGAGGGACATCCCATTTCGTCACGGTATTTCTTCAGTCAGAAGTAGGAAGTGAGAACTAACGAGTAAAAAGTGGGAAATAGAAAATAGGAAGGACCAAATGGCCAGCACGCCCCTTCCTTCCCCATATCCCTATACTACTAACAGTATAATAAATTGTTTTTCTGTAACTAAAAAATAAATTCCTTTTTGTTTAGGAGCTTTTACATACACCCCATTTTGTATGGCCCTTTAAATTTAAGTGAGAAAAGGCGATATGTGATTAACTTTTAGTATCACGCTAAAAACATACAATTTTTTTTTTCACAAAACAAAAAAGAAGTATCGACTCTGCCAATCTATTCGGTAGTCAATAGTGATAGTGCGCACACCAATGGTGACATCACCATGGCAACAAATCACAAGAACACATATACCTATCTTTGCATGGTTTTACTCTACTACATAATTCAATAAACATATAAAAAGAATATACAGATATAATAAAGTTTGTGTCACGTGTCCCCGTGATGTCCATAGCAGACATCTAATGCTATGATTTGTCGAAATATTCATGGCCATACGAAACAGCAATGTGATGCCTTTCAACTCTATCGTAATACCGTTTATCTCTTTCGAAAACTCAATCTTTCTACCATGACCCTTCGCTTCTAATGACACTTTTACATGAGTTGTATACGTCGCGTGGGTCCCATGATATCGAACACTACTCGTGGTAGGTGACGATTAAAAAGCCACACGTGTTGAACGGCGGCGTCGCGGCCGTCTTCGATATGGGTTCCATGGCAACGCGTCTAGAACACATTGTTTACACGAAATCCGGACGCGCAAAGCACGTCGACCACCACCATATAATTTGCTCAACAAAAACCAAACAAATAATGTTTTACGAATTTTGTATAAACAAAGTGTCGGTTTCCCAGATATGACACAGACCCGAATATCTATATTACGTGACAAGGACACCCGTGTCATTTATATTCTTGTGTTACATCACGGTAAGAATCACATGACGTCATGTTTCGTCATACTTATATATGGTTCTATCATAGAAGTAAAAGACAGAAAATTAATAGGCTTAAATTAGTTGTAACTCCTTCAGTCTGTCTTTTACCTCCATGGTTCTTTCAAATACATGTTGTGTTATCAACGATATATACTGTCAACAAATTAACTTCGAGCACTTTAAAGGTATGTACACAAACTATACAGTTATCGATATATATATATATATACACTCGCATGCAGAACTTACAGACTGTAATATAAGCGTAAGTAACACTCAATTATTGCTTCGTCATGTTATTTCATGCCAAGGGCAGACGCGGCTAATTGGCGGAGTGACTGAGCATTATAAAGCACAATTGATTTTGATATTTTCTGAGCGAAAGGACCAAAAAATAAATGAAAAAGAACCGTAATATAAATAGATGGTTCCCGAACTTGTTTTTAATGGAAACATCGACTTTGTGATTTCTTCATTGCATTATCACAACGACCATTTTTCAATTGAAAATTAGACAACAAACAAACAACTCAAAAAATAGTTCGGTTAAGTTCAGTTTTTCAAATAGCCAATCGTAAAATAAATAAATATTGTGTCAGAAGAATTTTAGCCTCATCCAGTTCCTCTTGATTTTCAGTTAAACTATTGCTTATAATTGCATTGAGAATAAATATTTAAATCGAAAGTTAGGTGTTCTGATTATTATAATACTATTATTATTATTTTTATTTGACAAATCCGGTTAACCGGAAGTGGAACTGGTATTAAGACTGTAACTTCTCCAACGCGCTACTTAAAACGCTGAGGTCGCCCTTCAACTCGTTAACGACGTCTGCTATTCGTCTCACGTTGCTCAGCACCTCCACTGAATGGGTGTATGGATTGTACCGTACTGCAAACGGACGCTTTATCGTACAGGCAAACTCTCTGTGGACGAAAAATAGTATACAATAGTTATGCTAATATCCATGTTTATTATTAATAATAATAATATTAATTATTAATAAGTATATTAATACTAAGTCTGTGTTCATCGAACTGTATGTTAATGAACACAGACTTAGTATTAGTTCGACGAAACGATAGAACACTCTAATACGCATGCGCACTGGTGTTTTGGTACGTACAATATTATTCAGCGCGCATGTGTATTAGGACGTTTCATTAATCATCGCACCAATACTGAGTTGTGTTTTGGAACAACAGTGTGTCCATTTCATAATCAATCATCATTAAAACAACAATATTCAAAATTACATGTCCGTATTTCATCGTTACCATGGCAACGGACAGTTGCGAACCAACCGCCGCATTAGGTTGATTTATGTTACATACATGTCTTGCTGACAACGGGAGAGGAGGTGCAAACGTGTCGGATAAAACTACAACTTACCTCATCTTCTCCTTAGCTTCTTCAAAACTGTCGGACAGGAAGTAGCAGTTCTGGTATGTCGTAATCATACACTCTTCTTTAATCGTTTCTATTGGGTTAAACGACTTTATAATAGCCTTGTCGGTGAGGGCGTGCTAGAACATATACATATTTATGATAAGTACATCTATAGTTATATTTACGAACGTATTTTTTTTACGGTGTCCGGGGACTTCCGATAAACGACGCTTTACCTCCCGTTGCGGCCCGAATATAGATGATATGGTATGTTAATAAATATGCATGACGTCATGATGATGGGAACCAATCAGCTCTTACCTTCAACTCCCCAATTGAAGACAACAGACCAGCTCCGTACACTCTTATTTTTCCATTTTGCTTGCAAAGTCCGAATTCCACCGTGAAGAAATAACACTGTTGAATTTAAAACAAAATACACGACCGTCAGTAAATCTAGCGCAGTTCTAGCACTTATTATAAAAATTGATATACATGTTCTCGACCACTGAGACAGTATACTATTACCCTCGTTCACGGGCTCAATTCAAAGTTGTGACTCGTTGTGGTCGACGCTTTTATCATGTCGGAGTTTTTGTGTACATCTTTGATTTATTTTTTTCTATGATTAAGAAGGAAATAAATAACACACAAAGTCCAGGTTTGAAATTGTGTGTATATTAAATTTAATATTTAATATTTCCAGTTTTATATTATTATAACTTTGTTGATTCGTTCCGACTACACACAATTATATTGGCCATTTTGTACACATGAATCCAAACGAACGCAACTGAATCATTAACTTTTCGGAAAACCGAATTAAACTTTCTCAAAATAGACCCATCATAACTTGTTTTTTATATACATGTAGTTCCAATAATTTTCATCGAAGCATGTAGAAAATGAAAAGTTAAAACTATCTGGTCCGAAATTAACAAAGAATTTATAGAAAAGTTCATAAAAAGGTGCAATAAAAAATTGTGCGGGAATAATGATGTCTTACAAAAAGTAAATCGTTACATAAATTATGTAGTGTATTCATAATTTCTTGTTCTAAGTGATATTGTTACTTACGGTTGCCAGTTTCTGAACTTCCTCGTCCGATGCCCCCAGCGAAGCTAAGCCAATCTCCTAGAAACATAATACATAGGGTTCAATTCGATATACCGTACACTCACAATTCTATCGATTAAAACAAGCACCATTAATATTCGGCTTTCGGCTTAAAACTGTTTGTCTAATGTAGCTAATTGAGCGGTAAAAAAACAAAATGTCAGCAGTACCGTCATACTATTATAAACAGCCACAAGTAAGCGGCGATAATTGGTAATCCAAGTCTTAAGTAACTACTAGTATTTAATATAGCTAAAGGGTTTGGGCAAAGATCTTTCAGTTAAAAGTGAAAAGGCGTGTATTGTTATCGTTAACAGAACGTCTTTACTGTAGTGTATAAGAATGGAGTTATTGTTCACTACTCGTTACTGCGTTCACCTGTCTAAACATACACCTCCCGAAGCCTATACTTGGCAATGTAACGGACACACATTCAAAATTCTTGAATGAACTCCATTGTGAAGACTCGGGCGTACTGTTTAACTGTTTAACACCTCGATTTTGTTGTCGTTGTTTTTAATACCTATTACTCTCGCCACATACTTCGAGATTGAAACTAGGATCGTATTGTAATCACGTTGGTACACATGTACCCACGAAACCACAATGGCACTAATACTGGCGTAGCACTGAATTGCATTATCCGATTCGCTCTCCCATCCTTATTTATTTCACAGTCTCTCAACAGTGTGCAGGGACTGTGGTTATTTACCACGTGTTTATAATCTGTGGATGGAAAGTTTGTGGATTTGACCTGCTTGAACTAAATGAAGTGACAACCTCTCCTATGTACTCACCCGTTAAAATCAAAAAGTTTATTTTAAGGCCTGGCACCAAATTTTACAGAATTTTGGTGAACAACAGTATTTGTAGAAGGTCAAAGAGGGCGCACTACATTTACAAACTTACCTGTGAAAACTGTGCAAAACTCTTGTCCGCTAGAAGCGGCACGTGACCAAGTAGCTCATGGCAACAATCTCTGAAAAATAAACCGAAAAATAATGTTGAAATCTTCGCTACAGACACAAATATTTTCATGTCCCTGGGCGTCGCGTGCACTAATTCAATGAGCGCGTCACAGGTTTAGTTTCAAATTTAATGAAATATCAAAATAAAAACAGAATTTTTGAAATAAAACAATCATAATCGATTTCAGAAAACATTTTTTTTCTGAGCAGCAATAGTAGGAAAACTGATGAGAACGCGACAAGCGTATTTGACACCGGATATACAATTGTAGTGTGGGTAACTTACGGTTCTTTGGTGTACAGTGGATCCGAGCTGTGGCGTATATACTGCGTACAATGGAAAACACGGAATGCCAGGCCAGCCAAGAAGTCACGTGGTGAGAGATATCCGGCAACAGGTCGTAGTTGAAAACCAGTTCGAGCTGGAATTGCAAAATATAGATTTATAGAGTTGCACGTGCGTCATCATAGTTGTAATATTTTAATATTTGTCGAAACAAACATTCCCGGGAAATTGACACCCACCCCTTTCCAGACAGTCAAAAGACGAAAAAGATTATTCATTCATATCATTTTGTGAAAATGTTTACTGCGGTTCTTTGTTGGTGCTAGTTGTGTCCAGTGATAACGCTTTTTTATATTCAAGGGTGGATTCCTCTCAAATATTATAGGTTGAGAAAGAAGACTTCTTTTTTGACTCAAAAATCAACCTCATTTAGCGGCATACCACATTTTGTATTGAGGCACCCCCTCTGCCACAATCTTCTTCAATATATATATACACGTGACCTAACACGCAAAGGCTCATGGACAGACGCTTGTTTGTAAACATCGACACGCTATGACTATCTGCCGCATGCGCAGCTTGTGATTCTGTCGCTTTAATGATATTTATTAAAATTGGAATTCAATAAACTGACACTCAGTTCCACATGAAGGTTTTGAAACGTAAATTAATTTTGTATACACGCGTTAGACAACCAGAAATGAAATGGGAGACAGTAGAACAACTTCGAGACTTTTCTTTTTTTAGTATTGGGTCGAGATTTATTTTCAGAGTGATGTTGATTTCATCTGTCAGATGTGATTTTGTCGCCAAAGTAAATACGCCGTGAGCAATGGTAAAATAATTATGTAAAGATATACAGTGCCTTTACCTTTAAGAAACTCAGACACGTCTTGTAGTTGGGGTATGGAATCCTTCCTAGATGAGAAATTAACAAGAACTTGAGTACGCCAACAATAAAAAAGTCGGAGAGAAATACTTCATACTTGCTAGACGTGCAAATACGTTATAAAGAAGAACAGCGATGGAATCTCGTCACACGGCTTACCTGTAGATGCCTTCCTCTACCAACACTTTGAAGTTCTCCAGATATTCCCTGCAAGCATGGGTTGGATACAGTCGACTCAACTCCGTGAAAACAGTGCCCCTAGAAACACAAATGAATCACATTAAAACGGAGGGGGTCATCACCTGCGCATGCGCGGGAATTGGATCCCAAGCGACGATGACAACGCACACTAAAAACGTAAAGACTTATGGGTAGACGCTTGTTTGTAAACAGCGACGCGCTATGGCGTATGCCGCATGCGCAGGTGACGACACCCCCGCGTTAAACATCTCCGGGACCCAACCCAGTACATTGGCAAATGGCGTGGCGTTCCTTACTGAAAGTAGTCCTACTATGTAATGGTATATATCCGTTTAGAAATGACTACTAGTATATGTATTTTAATTACTGGTTATAAACCTAGATCTGCTATTAGTCTGCGTGTCCACACGTATAACGACCTGTAGACTCGTATTGCCCCCTCGTGACTGTAAATAGCTTACCATGTTTTCGTTTCACTTTCGCTATATTCCACTCTTTTCATTGGTTGACCGCTATAAATTTGAACAATAAAAACATAGTTTAAATATCAGGACTGTGAAATATTAGATATAGTTTGACACAAAATAGATTTAATCGTAATGAATAATCGGTTTCAAAGTCGTTCGAAACACCTATTTTCCAGATGGTCATTGATTCAAAGTGTTGTCAGGTGGAGTAAGTCGCGCCCTCTAGTCAACATGATGGTGTAGCAATATCGATCAAATAAACAACTATGTTGTGAAGTAATTCGTCATTTAAAATACAGCAAGTCTTAAAGAATAGTGCTGGGCGTCCATAGATCAAAAGAATAATGGCGAATATGAAACACACATGTCACAGAAGCGGTTTGGCGCTAGAGGGCGCTCGGTGTATCGTATTGACTATTTTACTTTAAATACAATGTACGTACTGCCTGTATTCGTACCCCAATTCTGTGAAATACTTCCGTCTTTGTCGGTACTCGGGATCCTAAAAATCAAATAACAAACAAATATATTAGGAATCCTCGGGGGCGGAGCTACGTCACAGACGTTCCACGTTGCTAAGACGCGCACCACTGTACCATGCATTTCTATGGGCTCTGTGCGCGCTGCTGTGCAACCGCGGGTTGCCAGGCGGTGAAAATGCCCGGATATCCGCCCCCGAGGATTCGCTATTGTCAATACATCTGCAGGCGCCTGGTGAGTTGTGTTCCCTGAAAAATCATACTTTATTTTTTTTTGAACGTCCTTAAAAAAGAATGTAATTCAAACATTATCCATATACGTAACCCTTCATGGTCCAGTCGTGACAATTTATTTATTATATGCTAATTAAGGTAAAAGCCTATTTATTTTTCAATAAACTGTATCCCAGGACAATATAATGAAGTTGACTTCTTAATAAAAGTTTCGGCTCACCAACCTATTTTTCGAGTAAATGATGGTTGTATTTTGAAATTATTGAATATTAGAATTAGAACATTTTTACCCTCGTTTTCTATGACAAGGATATTGTCGTATATATCAGAGTGTAGGCATAGAAAGAACAAATTACTAGTATATATCGTGACTGGGAGTCACTTTTTGATATTTTGAATTTCAAGAATCTAGGTTTTAAAAAAGTTACAATATTTAGTTTTAACATTGTGTTCCATGGAATTGTTCTAAAAGATCAGTCCGGTAGCAAAAAAAAAAAAAAAAAAAAAAAAAAAACAAAACAAACACGTTTTTTCGCATTAACATGGAACCATAGCCATATGAATGGACATGATAAATCAATGAGCATGCGATTTACGACTAACTTTCTACCTCAACAATGAATTATCTAAATTTCTGACTCGCCAACAGTCGTACCAATTTCGTGTCGTGTCGGAACAGAATTAAACAAAATAAAAATTACAATATAACATAATTAAATATACCAGCTTGAATCCCTTTTGTTATCATGTTGTTTTCCGACGTTTTTTAGGTTGCTTTATTTGTAAACAGATGTAATAACGTTGTAGTAGTTTACACCAACTTACACAAAAAATGCCCACAACAGTCATGGTACCCGCTCCGTACTATGGTCAGATTACTCATTCGATAGTCGACAAACACAAGACGACCCTTTATTTCAGATAATATTGTTTTCAATAAATATCAAAATCAATTTCATTTTAAAAAATTCAGTACTTTTACATACATGTTTGCTATTCGTGTACTGGGCACAAACTACTAGTATATATGAACCAACGGCATTACACGTTCTTTTCGGCCAATCAGAGTGACTTATTCAATTTAAAAAGTTGAGTCGAAGCATATATACAATTTGATACGTCGAAAAAACTGTTAACTAGAAAGCTGCTCTCTGATTGGTCCGAATGTTAGGTGTTAAGCTGGGGTAGCCAATCAGGTACAATCTTGTAATTAACTTCGCAATGAATCCGTTCTTACCGGGTAATCAGCATCCAATTCAGCTCCAAGATGCAGTACACGATTAGCACATTTATCCAAATCCGAAATTGTATGCGGAAACCACGGGATTTCACTCAGGATCACTGAAAAATAGCCAAAAGTAACGTAACATGTAAGGGACTTCCTGCACGTGTAACCCAGGAGGATAATTTGTCTCGCGGTAGATATATATAATTAGTGATCACGATAACTATCACGAGACTCGGTGTCGTATGACGTACCTTCTGGGGCGACCGATTCGGCTCCATCCATATCAGGCATATTGATAATGTCAACGTGGTTCTTCAAGAGCGCCATCAATTCATGAATATGCCCGTCAGTACTGTCACAATCCACGTAAATCTCATATTCCGAATCTCCGCGATGCAAAGCTTTTCGAGATTCAATATGTACTACATTCACGTTATTCTCCTGTAAATAAAATAAAATATTTGGTAATATCTTGAGCATAATTTTCGCTGATATTTTATCGTGGTGGTGGCAATGTAAAATAAAAAGCGTTGCCATGGCAGCACACTTAGCTATACTCGTTCTAAGAAGTAACGCAAAACTTAAATGCGCACGCGCTTCGGTACATATACGTAATGAAAGCGCACGCGCACCAGCGCTGTCAAGTACGAAGGGGGGGGGGGGCAAGGGTTATTTTCGTTCAACGTAATTGCAATATTTTTTTGTTCGTACAACGTAAATTGAAAAAATAAATTCCGTAATTCTCTAATCACAGGCTAGACGTACAACGGAATCAATCAACTATTTTTATCGTACACTGTAAAAATGTGTCATTTTTCTCGGTACGTACAAGAATTTACATCAAAATAAAAAAAGTCGTAAAGAATAATCCAGGGGAATTACATTTTCGAAACTGTAAAACGACTAGATGACACAATTCACTGCAAAATTCAATTTTCACTGTTTCCTTGTAAATTTTAAAAAACCCTTTTTATTTCCCGTAAAACTGTACCAGCTACCCCCTTGCCGTCCTCAAGTACAGCTTTGTATTGAACGAAGTCTGCTATATCTGTTTATTAACGATAAATCATACAAGAGTGTTTTTTTATCAAGATTGTCCAAGTTATTCATATTGATTTCTATAAAGGGTCGTGTATGGTATGAAAAGAATCACGGACTGTAGGAAATTTATATTTGCTGTTTATAGAATAACAGTATTATCGTTGTAGGGAAATATACGAAAGCCGATAAGATACATTCTATTTCGTACATTTTTACTTCTCACTTTCTACTTTTTTCTTGAATTAAGAAGGACAACTTTCAAGCGGGGTGTCCCTTTTTGGCATTCGAAATTAAGAAGTAAATTACTAT